CGTAGTTGTTTAAAAACCATTCACAAAATACAGCCCGTCGCGGAAAATCAACTTCATGAAGTTCTTGCTGACAAGTTAAACGATAGGAGAACAAACGCAAATCTTTTTTTAACACTGTGTGGCAGGTACCGACTGATACTCCCACCATTTGTGATAAAACACGTACAGAAGTTCTTGGCGCATTTTCCATTATTTGTTGGACATTTTCTTTTAATTCTTCAGTCCGCTTTTTAGGTCGGCCGCTTCCTTCTTTTCTTGTTACACTGCCCGTTTCACGAAAAACATTAACACAACGCTGAACTGCACTTTGAAAAATTTTGTACTCAACAACGCCGGGAAATTGATTTTGAAATTCTATGAAACATTCCTCAATAGAATACTTCCATATTCCATCAATCTTGCGTCCATTTCTAAAGTAGGACTCTATGATAAACACTTTTTGTTCTTGAGAAAACACCACTTTCAACGCTTTTTAAAACGAAAATATTCAAATTGATAGCGGCGATATAGCGCTTTGACAGATGACGTTTAAGTTCATTTGCTATACGCTACGCCCTACGTCCAAATTTTCAGAACCAACTTGACCACGTTTTTATTTGAACGCTCGTTATTTACCATGATCCAAATGGGTCGTTTTGAAGAACTTAGAAAACTACTAAATTTTAAGCAGGTTAGGCAGAAATAAGTTTTGAAATAATGTTTCTTTACATACTCTCCAGTTAGGCTGAAAATAATAATTAATAAAGTTGGAATGTTGAAAAATTAATTTTCCACAGAAAGTACCGAGCATGACCTTCATAAAAACAAAGAATATTTCCATTTCGTTTACCTGAATATTTAATGCCGATCAAGAATATTGTGGCGAGAAATGTAAGCACAGATTTAACTTTTTTTGAGCACTTGACGCCACAAAGAATTCCATTGTTTCAATCAATGTTTAAATTGCAATTTTCGATTAATACAAAAAAATCAACATTTTTCAAAAATTAGATTCTAAAAATATTGTGGCAGGCATATGATTTGCAATTCTGTGGAAGTTATAGATTTCCAAAATATGCACGTTATTAGGGTCTATTTAAATGAGATGCTTGAGTTTATTGCTCATTTTCTTAATTTTTTGGTATTAAATTGGTCTAACTTCGATATGTCACTCCAGAAAGAATAGCACGTAGCACCATTTGATACTATTAAGTATTCATATTAATATTAATTAAGACATATTTCTAGCAAATATGTTTATAGACCGGGAGATACTCGTAGCAGTTCAACGATGTCTTTCTCGTTTATGCCTTTTAGGGTACTGAAAGATACATTAAAGACAAGTAAGATTATGGAAAAAACCGATTTGCCCGCCAGGACACCTATGTGAAAATTTAATTTTCTTTTGCAAAAAAATGTGTCAACGTCGTATTTCTCGCTTATGCCATGTTCATAAGTCCTTAGTAGGACTTATGCCAATGTTTTTTATGAGCTTTTCAAATATAATAATGTCATATTTCTAATGGCATTAATGAGAAATTGGTAGACAAATAAATGTTTTTCACATTTTCTTACAAAGTTTTCCATTTTAGGTCACTTGCGACACTTATGCCAAAAATATGTTGTGATAAAATCACTACTTCACTTCAACTTATGAACATGGCATAAGTTTTCACAAAGGTGTCCCGCAGCCCATCTTTTAAATTTAGTTTATTGTACGTACTGTCTCTCGGTTACCTTTCAGTACTCTCAGAGGTATAAACGAGAAAGACGTCGTCGAACTTCAGTCTAATATCTCCCGGTCTATTATACAGCGTGGTAAAAAAGTTCTGCATAAAATTCATATTTTCGTTAAATAA